TGTGTGTGTGCGTGCATGTGGGCTGTGTGTGTGTGTGCGTGCGTGGTTGTGCTGCGTGCGTGCCGGTTGTTGTGCCTGCGTCGCTGCGTGCGTGCATTGTGCGCGCTGTGCGCGCGGCGGTGGTGTGGCGCGCGTGATGTGTGCCTCGTGATGAGTGTGTGTGCGTGTGATGGGCGTGCGTGCCGTACCTGGCGTCGAGTGATGGCGTGCGCGCGGCGACGCGCGCGTGTGTGTGTGTGTGTGGAGTGTGTGTGTGTGTGTGTGTGTGTGTGTGCTTGCGTGCGTGAGCGTGCGTGCGTGCGTGCGTGTGTGTGTGGGGGGAGGGTGCTTGCGTGCGTGAGCGTGTGTGCGTGCGTGCGTGCGTGCGTGCGTGTGTGTGTGTGTGTCTGTGCTTGCGTGCGTGCGTGTGTGCATGAGTGCGTGCGTGTGTGTGTGTGTGTGTGCGTGCGTGTGTGTGTGAATGCGTGCGTGAGTGCGTGCCTGTGTGCGTGCGTGCATGAGTGCGTGCGTGTGTGTCTGTGTGCGTGCGTGTGAGGCTATAGGCATACTTACGGGATGGTCGGACTCCAGCTCAGATCCATAGCTGAGTATGTGGTTAGCGAATCTATCTAGATCTGATATCTTCCTGGGAAACCAGGGAACCGTGTCTGAAATAGAATGGCCATATCCAGCGCGGGATCGCTGCATTCACGGGTTCGCTGGTTCGACTTCATTACAGGGGTCCCCGAATGAAACAATCACAGAGTGATTACGCCAGACCAAGTATCCATCCAACAGAATCTTCCGAGTAACCCCGGTTGACAGGAGTTCCAAAACGTCGAGAAAATCTCATCTCTCGGGATCTTAAAGGGGTCGACACACTAAGCGATTTTTCATGCGATCGAGCCGGCCGGTTCCAGTGTCGCGGTCGCAGACGCGGTCGGCCGGTTCAGTCGCATAGTGTGTCCACAGAGTCGCCCGACTCAGCCGGCCGGCTCGGCCGCATGAAAAATCGCGTAGTGTGTCTACAGCTTACCTATGCAAGCAACAATTTGTCCAGCAATCGATTTTTCCAATTGATTTCAACAATTGTTTTAACAATTGTTATGACATTGTCTTATTCGTTTAGTAAGTTATGTTTCACGTGGAACTCGTGTCAGCGGAATACGCGACAAGTGTTTATTAGCTAGTTGAATGCTAGCTCTACCCCTGTAGCCCCTTCGTTCTCGCTACAGCTACGGAGAGGCTACACTCGTAGAGCTATGGATGGATACTTGGTCGAACGGAACAGTGCGTACGTGTGCGCATGCTCGGGAAATGTGGTGTTGATATATGACGAAAAAGTTCTAATCATCGAAATAAACGGCGGAAGATTTTCCGATTTTTAATTTTTAACTCACGGGAATCCAGGCCAAATTTTGCTGGATATGCCAAGGAAAAGTATGGATACGAAATTAGCTTTTACTGAATACATGATAATACATTGATGATTAATCGTTATATAGGATTATTCGCTTCGCTGGTTAATGGTGTTACGTGGAATTAGTTATACATGGTTTTAACATCCAGATTAATAATGATGAGATTACGATGATAATAATAATGATAATGATGATGATAAATAAATATAAGAATTTAAAATTTCGTGCGTGGACTAGTGCCGGAAGGTGGTATAGAGGGGGTAGGCTTGGGTTAGACGTCGCCGGTGGGGTGTGGACAGACGTGGTGTGAATTGAACATAGCGAATGACATTGCTGCGACCTTGTCGTGTGTTAACGACGCATAGCAGACCTGTGTACTTCGGCTATTTCGCATGAATGCGGCCAAGGGCGCGTATACAGACAAGGCAATAAAACGTATACGCCATGTTGTTTATCTCCGCCTCTATCCCATCACTCATACTCACTCGCACTGACACGCACGCACACGCACGTACGCACGCACGCACACGCACGCACGCACGCACGCACGTATACACGCACGCGAGAACACACGGACGCGCACATACAGACTAATTAACGCACGCAAGAGGAGATATGGCGGAAATGGAGATTGTGTATGATAGGAGATAGATAGATATAGATAGATAAATAAATAGATAGATAGATAGATAGATAGATAGATAGATAGATAGATAGATAATCGATAGATAGATAGATAGTATAGATAGAAGATTTTTAATAGATAGATAGATCGATAGTCTATAGATAGATAGATAGATAGATAGACTGAGGGATAAGATCGATCCGATTAGATAGTATAGATTAGATAGATAGATAGAATAGATAGATAAGATAGATAGATAGAAAGATTAACTAGATAGATAGAAGAGAGATAGATAGATAAGATAAAGTGAGTACTAGATACGATAGATGAGATAGATAGATAGAGTAGAATTAGATAGATAGACTAGATAGATAGATAGAGAGAGAGAGAGTAGTGCGCGAAAGAGAGAGAGATAGAGACGCGGGAGCAAAATCGAGGAAGGAGAGAGAGAAAGAGATAGGGAGAGGGGCGGATAAGAGGTGTTTAGCTAGTCAGCGGCCACCACCCACCACTAGCCAGAGTAGTATAGTGTAATTAGTAGTAGTAGTATAGTAGTAGGTAGTAGTAGTATAGTCAGTAGTAGTAGTCGTAAGTTAGTAGTAGGCAGCCAGCAGCAGCAACTACCCTACCACCACCACCACCACCACCACCACCACCACCACCACACCCACCATCACCACCACCACCACCACCACGCGGCTCGACCACCGACCAGCAGCAGACAGCAGCAGCAGCAGCGAGTGAGTGAGTAGTGTAGTAGCAGGAGTACAAGATAACCTCTAGCTCTACATCTCCTCTACTTCTCCACACTTCTCTATCTCTGAGCGCGAGCGAGGGGGAATCATTTCGAGGGAAATAATCTCGTTATCTAGAAGTCTCTTTATTCTAGAATTCTTATTTCTAGAATTCTACGAATTATTTCTTTATTCTACGAATTCTATCTATGTCTTAACTCCTGTAGTAGTAGCTGGGCAGCAGCAGCAGCAGTAGTTAGCAGCGCAGCCCTAACAATGTAACAGCAGTAGCCGCAGGCAGCAGCAGCAGTAAGCAGTAGCTAGCCAGTCACAGTCAGCATCTAGGTAGCAGTAGCAGTAGCAGCAGCAAGTAGCAGCAGCAGTAGTAGCTGTGCAATGGGACTGCGTCATGTAAAACATCACAGTTATTCACTGCAGCGATCAGTAGTAGCAGTAGTAGTAGCAGCAGCAGCAGCAACAACATCAGCAGTAGCAGGCAGACAACAATCGAACATCCAGTAGTAGGCAGGCAGCAGCAGCAGCACGCAGCAGCGAGTAGCCTGCAGTAGTAGTAGCGTCATGGTGACTGCGTGCATGTAACATCACAGTTTATCAACTGCAGGCGATCGTAAACAACGTGAAACTGGGTAGCAACGCATCGACCCCCCCCCAAACACACACACACGCGCCGCCCCGCACGCCCCCGCACCCCGCCCCGCCGGCGTGCCAGGCCCGCCCGTGAGAGACACGCCGGTGGCAACGTTCCCACCTGCGGCCGTGCCCCAACATGGCAACGTTAGCGAGAGTAGAGAGAGAGAGAGAGGGAGAGAGAGAGAGAGAGAGATAGAGGCGAGAAGCGTAGAGAGGAGAGAGAGAGAGAGAGAGAGAGGGAGAGAGAGAGAGAGAGCGAATGCGAGAGAGAGAGAGAGAAGAGCGAGAGAGGAGAGAGAGAGAGAGAGAGCAACAGCGGAGAGAGCGAGAAGAGGGAGAGAGAGAGCCGAGAGAGAGGGAGAGAGAGAGAGAGAGAGAGAGACAGCAGAGAGAGAGAGAGAGAGGGAGAAGAGAGAAGAGAAGAGAGAGAGAGCGAGAGAGCGAGAGAGAGAGAGAGAGAGAGAGAGAGGAGCGAGAGAGAGCGCGAGAGAGAGAGAGAGAGGGAGACCGATAGAGATAGAGATAGAACGAGCGAGAGACGCGCGGCGCGAAGCCTGGTAGCATATTAGGCAGTTTTACGCAGCGCAGGCAAAGTGCCAGCAAGAACAGAACTTAAAACAGCAGAATATCCCCCCCCCGACACACACACCGGCCCTCCTCCTAGCTTACCCACACCTATCTCTGGCGCGATCTATCTATCTATTATCGATCTATCTATCTATCTATCATCTATCTATCTAATCTATCTACTCTCCGTCGATCTATCTCATATCTATCTATCTATCTATCTAGTCTATCTATCTAATAGTATCTATCCACGCTATCTATCTACATCTCAGGTATCTATCTATCTATCTATCGTAGCTATCTATCTATATCTACTATATAGATATAGATATATATATCTAGCATAGATATATATAAATATTATTTATATATAATAAATATATATATAGATATATATATATATATACGATCATCACCATTATTTTACCTTTTACTCCATCTATCTACCCACGCCTCCTTTATCGTGAGAAAGGTAATTAGCTTAGTTGCTGATTGACCTTTCAAGCACCGCTAAGTATATCTCCTGGTAAATATCATCTCTCTGATAATGATAATATCATCTCCATGGCTAATATCATCTCCTGTAATATCTCTGCTTATGATAAGCACGTAACAGCTAGAGGCTTGCGCCTGTGTGTGTTCTGTGCGCGCGTGGATGTGCGTGTCTGTGCGCCGCAGTGCGTTCGTGCGAGCATGCGGCGTCTGTGTGTGTGTGTGTGTGTTGTGTGTGTGTGTGTCCTGTGTGTGTGTGTGTGTGTGTGTGTACCATACCTTACAGATGTGAGTAGCTGACTCTATGCTAAGAGCAGAGACCCAGAATGTAAGTGGTCAATGGTAGTAACGGGCTTTCGCCGTAGCGAGTGATAACGTGTAGCACCGCTATAGCTAACAGGCTGGGTCGCAGCAATTAACACACCATGCACACACACACACACACACCACACACCACCAACAGCACACACCATCCACATCACACACACACACCGCACACATACACACCCACACACACACACAACCCACACACACAGGCCCGCACACACACACACACACACACACACACACCAGGCGCACCACACACAGGCACGCACATCCACACACAGCACACAGCACATCGACACACACACACACGCAGGCCCCACACGCACACGCGCGGCGCTTACCACGCACACGCACGCACGGCACGCACCCACACACACAACACACACGCACGCACACACCACGCACCGCACACACCACGCACGCACGCGACGACACACACGCAGAGTTCACGCGACAGTCGCACAACAAGTTCAGATTCAGAGACTTTCCTCCAACCCCAGCAGCTGTAGCGCCAGTCACGCACGCCCCGCGTATATGTTCCGGCGTTGATTACAGCGGATCAGCAAAGATTATTGTCAAAGCGAATTCTCACATATTATTATTTTAAAAATTGTGTCTTTAACATATAATATACATCAGGAGTTTAATAGAACAAAGATAATTTGTCTTATTACTCCTCTGAAGTAGTACAGTATACGCGTCTACAAACATTAATTATTTTTCAGAGATATCTATATATACAGCAAAGCATTCATCAGTGCGTTCGTTCGTCCATCTATCCATCCGTTCCTCTATCCCTCCCTCCATCGTCGTCCGTCCATGCACTACGTCCGCTCGATCGCCTCCCTCCGTCGTCCGTCCAATTTCTCTACGTCTCCCTCCCTCCCTCTTCTTCCCTTCTCTTTCTCCTCCTCCTCCCTCCGTCCGTCCGTCCATTCTTACGTCTCCCTCCCTCCCTCTTCCTTCCCTCCCTTCCTGTCTCCCCTCCCTCCTCCCTCCTCCGTCCGTCTCCGTTCCATTCTTACATCTCCCTCCCTCCCCTTCCTTCCCCCTTCTCCCTCTTCCTTCCCTCGTCGTCCTGCGTCCCTCCGTCCCCCCTCTTTCCTTCCTGTCCCTCCTGCCTCCCCCTTCCTCCGCACGGCCTTTACCTAAGGTTGTCTTTGTGGTCGCGTGTTGCACCGCACGTGTCGAGCTTTCCTGCTCCAGTGTGCGGATACATGGTCCGATCTCCGTGTTGTTCTCATGGCTTCCACCAGGACTCTCGTAAAACCGTTTGTACCGACGTTAGACGGTCGAGATTCGATGTGGCAGTCAAGTTGACCATTTTTGTGGATTTCCTGTGACACCATACCATTCACCGCCGTGTTTGGTGTCAACAACAACACAACAACAACATACAACCAACCAACGACGATCGACGACGCCACGACGACGGATGACATCATACGCATAACATGGTAACAACATGCCACCACATCATCATCGAAACAGACAGCAACAAACACAACAACAACAACAACACACAACAACGACGACGACAGACGACGAACGGACGCGAAACGACGACACGAAACGACGCCCCGACCGACGACGACGACGACGACGACTACACACACCAATAACTAAGAATTCAAGCCGTAGAACTCGACATAGCACGTCATATAGGATCTTAATACAGATTGAGCAAATAGCTAACTTATACAGTAAAATATAACGCAAGCCAGCTAAGATATTCTATACGAGCAAAAATTGCTGGTTTTTTTTGTTCTGATATACATGAACCGAAATGAAGCATGGGATGACTGAAACACGAAAACGACACCACAAACCTCGCATATTTGAGTGCCTTCGCAAGAGCGATCCGATTCCTTCCTTGAGCAGGAAATCAGCGTTGCTCGCTCTCCTTATCTGCCTTCGCGAATCTATCCTCCTTCTCCTTCATGTGAACCGCTCGCCGCGTCCATCCTGCGGATCGAACGATATATACTATGGTATAGCAGCAATGATACGAGTATATAGAAACGTGTGAACTTACTGAGATATGCGGAGTATGATCATAATGATTATGGATATACGCTTACTGAGTATCGAGTATTGATGATAGTGCGTATTGATATACGCATTTACTGAGTATGCGAGTATTGCGCTGATCTGCGTATTGATCATACGATTACTGAGTAGCGGTATTTGTGGTCGCTTATAGACGCGGTGACGCATTCTTACCTACTATGTTTTAAGGCGGTGGTCTAGCGTAGTGCGTATGAATGTTACTATACTAACATCTCCACTCTACGTTCGAACACGGCTTTTGCACACTAACAAGCGCACGCTACGCACGCCAGCCCCTACGCACTGCACACTAAGCAATCATACACGCACGCGTAACACGCGCATATATATCTATACACACGGCGGCACACCCACACGCCGCACGGCACGCACGCACGCGCGTGGACGCCACGGATGCGTGATACGAACGTACAAAAACACAAGCCCGCACGGACTGCCTGCACGCACGCACAGGGGGCCCTTCCGTTGATACTCACATCGGAGTGTTCTGAGTTATTATTGATGAACGTCAATTGATATATCGGTGAGTCTAAGATCGTACGTTACGGTTAGCTGTTATAGTCGGTGACTCATGCGCACAGCCGCCGCAGCTATCGCAGTCAAAACAGCTCCAGCCGCCGTCCTCTTCACGTCGCACAAGCGGTCCATCAGGATAGATTATGTCAACAACACAACACGTATACAACGTCACAAGACGTGATGGTATGTGCCTCCACGCCACGCACTCCGCAACTACACACACGATCCACCCCGTAGCGTGTCACAGGTGCGAATGTAAATTAAGATATCACTCCCTTGCTATTATGGGCGGTCACTGTGATACCACTGTTAAACTTCGCTCACAACGCGTTAACACATCTGTATTATTGTATCGTTGTACTGTGTACCGGCTGTACTGATTACACTGTAGCATCTGTGATAGCTGTTACACTGTGATACTGTTACATCTGTGTTTGCATCGATACGCCTGTGATTACTGTTTACCCCTGTGGAACTGTTACTACAGAGGACTGCGATACTCACTACTGATTACCCTATGTTGCTGCTTGCACCTGTTACTGTTCGTTGCTACTGACCAGAACCGTCGCGCCACACGCGCTCTGACACACGCTGACCGGCGCTGCACACACACATATAGATATATATATGGTGCGTGACGGCAGGGTTGATGAAACACTGACGGGATGTGTAGCATAACTCGGGCGGGTACGGCAGGAGCCCAGTGCTGGCTCCATTAGGTCCGTTGAGAGTGTTTAGCCTGTAGTATGTACCGTTTATAGTGTTATGCGCGCGCGCGGTGCTGCAAAGCTGCGAGCGGAACGAGTGGCGGAGGGAGGCGAGAGCGAGGTGCGCTGTCTTGTGTGACCCGCGCGAGGTAGGTGAGGGAATGTTATGTGCGGCGGCGGCTGATTGCCTTAGCGTTGGTGCGTCGTGTGTAGGGCGGGAGCATCATAGAAGACAACGTTTGGTTGTTATAAGAGCGGTTCTCAGTCCATGCGCGGAGTTATATTAAACGTGACGTCTCTATTGACGAGATCGTTTTATCAGTTAAGTATATGCCTGGGATATGGGGTGTCATGATTCTGACGTAGATGCACCTCATTATAGGAAAGTTTAAGAGACCAGAAATATTTCTCACCTTCGATAGTTCTACGGCGTAAACGTGAGTGCTTCAAACGATGCAACAAACGTGAAAGTAGAAGAGGGTGAGAGGCGAAGAGGGGGAAGAGGGTATCACATGGGTAATGGTTTGAATCTAGGTGAATAGAATGCTTGATACGCCGAAACACAGAATGTTGCTCGGACGGGGGCCGGGTGGCTGTTTGGGAGAGTTTGTTTTATTTTACTAGCAACAATTCTCGTCATAAAAGACCTTTTCTAATTCACCTAGACCTATTAATGGGTAATTTGTTTCAGTGACGGTACGTAACGATGCTCTGCTCTATAGAGCGGCGAGTCTTTTAGTTTTACTGGGTCTCTTGTCTAAACGGAGAGCCCGTAGCTAGCGACCTGTTATCTATCAGCAGAGCGTGGTCCATACGATACACCATCACACACACCCACAGGCTGCGTGGGCTGGGGGGGGTGGGGGGCGCGAAGGGGTTCGGGGGGGGGGTGGTCGCGGTGGGGTTGGGGGTGGCGTTGGTGGGGGGCGGTGGTCGTGCACCACACCACACACACACACACACCACACAACAGGCACACCCCACACACACCCCACGGCGCACACACACACACACACACACACACACACACACACACACCACACAGCACAGGCACAGGGGGGGCGCGCCACACACACACACACATGATATGTATATAGCTGTAATAATTCATCGAGTCGTACCTGGGGCGGAACAGGCGAGATGTGGTATGAATCTGGCGTGTATTGTTACTGGTGTAACGAGTTTCCTTTTCGCGTATCCTGTTGATAGGGCAGATTGGTATTTATTAATGCCAATGCCTATACGGTGGTCCGTGCGAGTTGAATTGTAAAAACTGAAATTTATATATACATGCGCACACGACATTGAATTGAGAGCCATGCAATGATGGCGTTCGCGCGAGGTATGACGTCAGCACTTAACGCGTTAATTCCCGGATGTAATATCGGTGTCAATCCCTATGTTACTGTCCCGATGTAGAGAGACGTTCTATTATGGAGGGGTGGTTTCACAGGTCGCAGGTGGCCTGGTTTCGGGGCTCCGTGAGCAAGAGAGAGTGGAGTAGGGGTGTTATTGCAGGCTGAACCAACCTGCGCCCAGGGCCTTGCGCACCGTGCACGTACATTGGTTCTAATGATTGAGGATTGGTTGTTTGTGTAAGGGCATGGCCGGCGAGGAGCCGACACCCCGTGGCTAAATACACGCCCCGGCGTGACGCGAATGCGCAGAGTTTGTAATTGCATGTGGCCGTGTGTGTATGCGCGCGTGGTGTGTGTGGGTGGTGGGTGGTGTGGCGCCGCGGTACGTTGCGTGGTGGTGCTTGCGTGCGCGAGCGGCGCGGTGTGTGTGTGCGTGCGAGGGCGGTGTGCGGTAGCCCGCGCGCGGTGTGTATGTGCGGTGCGTTGGTGGTGCGTGTGCGTGCGCGCGCGGGGGGGGGGGGTGGGGGGGGGGGGCGGGGGGCCGGTGTGTGTGCTGTGCGTGCGGCGGTGTAGCGTAAGCCGGCGGGCTGCGGTGTACTGGGTGGCGTGGCGTGTGTCGTGGCCGGTGCCGCGCGATGTGTGTGTGTGGCGTGCGCGTGTGCGTGCGCGTGTGGGTGTACTGGACGGTAACACGCCATCTACGTGTGGAGGATGTCACACTGTGGGGTAGTGGACCGTAGCAAAACTGAAGCCATAAGTGGAGCCGATAAAACGCCCTAATCCGCCGCGCAGTCGCTGCGCGATGCAGGCCCACCGGGGGGGTGTTGTTACCGTGCGTCGATGGATGGATTTATCGCGAGGCATAGCCTCGGTGTCGAGACGAGCTAATGTCGTGTGCTGCGCGCCGGCAGTATATGTCCGCGTCGCAGAGTCTCTTCCTTCAGCAAATAATTCTCGGGCTCGCGGAGTCGCGGTCCGTTTCGTCTCACATCGTGCTCATGCGGGGCGAGAATCATGGCATTCATGCATGTCCTAGACGGAAGCGTTATTGCTTTGACGGCGGAGGTGGATGGACCCGTGCGAGAGCGAGACCGTTGGCATCGCGTATGAGTGGTTCGGTGTGGGGGGACCGGCGTGGAAGGGAAGAGGACGTGTAGCCATGCTGCGTAGCACTATATTCGGCAATAGTAGTTACGGAAACTATTATAGGGGGCATGACTAGTCAAGGACCAGTGAATAGAAGGTTAGCTTTAATGATCGTTGCTGGCTCAGATTTGGATGAAATAGGTAGCTGATTAGCTCTTGGATACTGACTAGGTGATGGGGAGTCATCCAGGAGAGATAGCAAGATGGAAGATTATGTACTGGCCGCGCCAGTGATAGTACTTTTGATGAGCGACAGGGTTTACGTAGAATACTTAGTGGTAGATGTCCAAGTGCTTCGAAGGGCTATGGGGATGTGCTCGAGAGTGAACGGGGGTTGAGCATGTTACGATACGTCAGCCCACGCATACATCTGCGTGCGATTTCCTACGCTATAAGTCCATCGTTACTTAGCCTTTGCTGGAATTAGAAAGGTATAGTCTTACGATAC